ATCTATGGCCTCCGATACCCTGGGGCCCCCACCGATCCCCCCAGCTTTTCCCAGTACTACGGGGGCCCCCGCTGGGGTTGTGGTGGTAGCTGCTGCTGCTGCTTTCCTCTATCCAGTGCTGGGCCCACTTCTCCCCGCTACCGTCGTCAAAGAACTGCTCCCCCCATCGTTCTACTCTCTTTCTGCCGCATGCATCTGTTGCTTCTTTGTGTGCTGTTTTCCAGCCCCAACGCTCCTCCCATGTCTCCATCCAACTCTCACCCTATACACAAACCCTAAACCCTAAACCCTAAACCCTTAACCTAGACCCAACGCTCCTACCAGGTCTCCATCCAACTCTCACCCTATACACAAACCCTAAACCCTAAACCCTAAACCCTAATACACCGTTGATACGCTGTTTTTCCGCCGCACCAAAAGCAAAAAAACAAAAGAAAGAAAAACAAAACAAACAACGAAGGAAGAAGAACAAAACAAAAAAGAGAAAGAAAAAAAACAAAAAAATAAAAAATAAAATAAAAAAATTAAATATTCTGACCTGCGCGTTGCTGCCTTTCTTCTCCGCCCATGTTTCTGTTTTTGTATCTCCATCAAATTTCTCTCTCCACCTCTCCTCCCACGCATCCCCTTGCCTGCACAAACCCTAAACCCTAAACCCTAAACCCTAAACCCTAGACCCTCCGCTATGAGGGAGAAGCTGCTATGTAGTTGGGGCCTACAGCTTCAGGGTTTAGGGTTTAGGGTTTAGGGTTTACAGTTCTAGGGGTTCGAGTTGTTAATGTTTTATATCGATTTAGGGTTTAGGGTTTAGAGTTATTAAGCTTTTTGAGGGTTTAGGGTTTATTTCGGCTGCTTGAAATTTTAGGGTTTAGGGCTTTTGAGGGTTTAGGGTTTAGGGTGCTTAAGGGTTTAGGGTTTTTCTATATTTAAGGGTTTATGGTTTTTAAGGGTTTACTGTCTACAAGGGTTTCTCGTTTATTGTGTTTGAGGGTTTAAAGTTTATATTATAGTTTAGAAGTGTTTATGAGGGTTCATTGCTTATAAGGGTGTATTGTTTACGAGGGTTTACGCGGGTTTGCGGGGGTTTACGAGGGTTTACGCGTCTGTACGAGGGTTGACGAGGGTTTATTCGTGTTTCCGAGGGTTTACGCGTGTGTACAAGGGTTTACGAGGGTTTACGCGTGTGTACGAGGGTTTGCGCATGTCTACGGGGGTTTGCTCGTGTTTACGAGGGTTTACTCGTGTTTCCGGGGGTTTATGCGTGTGTACGAGGGTTTACGAGGGTTTACGCGTGTGTACGAGGGTTTACGAGGGTTTAGGGTTTACTTATTCCAGCCTGTTTTTTCTGCGCTTTTTTCTTGGTGGTTTTCTCTCCACTGTTCTGTCCATCCCCCTTGTGTGTTTTCTCCTTTTTTTGATGCCCATTTGAGCTGCCTATACACCCCAAACCTCTCCTGAAACCAAGACTGGTTTTCTCTGTCGTTATGCTCCCTGCGGCGACATATA